GCCAATCTACAAAGTTCGATGCTAGCTGGAATAGGCTCTTCTCGGTACTCCCCCCCAAAGCCCGAGAGACATCGGGCACCCAACACCCGTCCTAGGAAGATCTTTGGCGTGTCCTGGCTGCAGAGATTGAAGCTTTCAGCCGACTCTGGGGTTTGGGGCTTCAGGAGTTGCCAAGGCAAACGCCGCTCCTGCTGTTTCAACTCTTACAACTAGGTTTCTACAGCTGCGACGACGGCCACCGCTACTGCCAAGAAGAACAAGAACAGCTACACCAACAGCAACAACCACAACCACAGCCACAAGCACAACCACAACAACAGCCAACAACAACTACAACAGCAACAACAACTACTACTGCGACGATGACGACGACTTCTACTATCATTGTCATCAACTTTACCCTTGTCCTGAGTATGATTCTAGTCAAGCAATGTGGAATGATCTCGAGGATGACATGGAACGGGGATGAGGATGAGGGGAATACGGGGTTATAGCGATGTGGGTCGACATGAGAGGAAGAAGTATGAGGATGATAGAGACGACCGTATGATAGCTTGGGGACAAGGATGATAATGTTGTTGTCTGTCCGAGCCGCTCGTTCGCATCAACGACTTCATCGTGTTGGCCATAGCATATTTTGCGAGAATTTTGACCAGCAGCATTGCAGATGGAGCTGTGTATGTGGTCTTCGCCAGCATCTGATGTGCTTTCGGGGTTCGACGTTCGTCTGGTACTTGCGGGATTGCGTTTTAGCGCAGGAGGTTGCAGCATGAGTGAGGGCAAAGAGTGCCCAGAGATCCAAGCGAGTGCTTCATCATCGGCTCAGCTCTCACTCCTGCAGATGAATACACCGCCAGCAACGACACGCCGAACCAGGGCAACTTCATGGCTGCTGCCAACCGCATGCCGGCTGCAGGTGTCGCTTTAGGGACGACATGATGCCCGAAGGATTGCCAGAAGAGTGTTAGCCGCAGCATGACTCTTCATTACTTGAGCCCTGAGCCATGGGAGCTTAAAGGCCGAAGGCATTGCAAGCTTGAGGGTTTGGGACAGTTAGGTAGTTCTTTCGGGAACCCCACATATTTTGCCGGGCGCATCCTGACACTTCCCCAACAGTCTTGGTGTTATGTTTGCTTCTCACATGTCGCACGCAGCCCCTAGATTGTTCAACAGAAGCCCGCAAGATCGCGCTTTTTCAAAGTATGATCCCTACAGTCCGTAAGCGCCTCCACGTCTACCGAGGCTTTATCAACTTAACGCGGAAAGGGATGAAGGAGCGCGCCTTCAGCTTCAGCACCGGTTGATCCTCGACCCGCTGTGACTGCCGAGGCCTTTCGCAGCAACTAAGGGCCCTCATCGGGATCGGGTTTAAAGTTTAGGGTTTGCGGGTCGAGATTGAGGCCCCCGCCCCCATGCCTTTCGGGCTTGTTTTGGGCCAAGACATGGTGTGCGATCTTTAATTGGATGTGGTGCAGGGCGACATAGGCCACAGATCTTGGATCCTACGCGAAAATTTCGTCACCTTCTTGATGGAGGCTGCCCGACAGGCTGCCGAGGGCCAGTTCTTCTAACGGCTTGCAGCAGAACTCATGCAGAGGGCTGCGTCGCGCCATCTAGAATTTAGATTATACGATGGGGGCGTGGAAGGGCTATTATCATCGGTCATTAGTATTACTACAATTATTATGGCTTAGTCATTATTATTTTACGATTATTGTGACTATCATTATGTTGGGCCATGGCGAGGCTGCAAGGACGAAGTCCATCTTAAGAAGGCTTCAGGCACATGGCCTTGCAGAAGGGTAGTGGCCGTTTCTGGGTCTTTCACATGCACAGCCATGACGCGGTCGGGGCCTCTCTCGCGGGTTTGGATGGTATAGGGTCCCTTTTGGGGTTTAGGGTCGTTATTAGTATTATTAATATTATTATTATTTTTATTATTATTATTAGTAATATTATTATTATTATTGTTATTGTTATTGGGTTTAGGGTTTAGAATTTGGCTATTGACAGGCTCGTCGCATAGTGACAGGTCTCAGAGAGCCGAGTGCAAGAGTCCTGGGCTTCCGGGGGGACAGCATTGGACTGGGCGAAACTTTTTGGGCTTGCCTGATGTTGCAAATCTTCCAGGCTACGCGCGTGAGCCGAGGGCCCGCAGATGTGGTCCAGGGCCCATCGCGTTTTTGCGTGTCGGCCAGGGATCAAAGCATGGTCGGGACATGCTGCTGAGCCAACCCCCCCCCCCCCCCCCATGTTGCCAATGCCAAATACCAGCCACACAACAGTTGTCAATCGGATCAACGACTATAGGTCACTAGATTTCCCGACGCTGGACTTTATGAAGCCGGCACATCATTTCACCGTGCATCCTGCCAGAATACGGTTCCGTCCCGTCGAAGACTGGACTTCGTGCCGGTAGGATGTACGAGTACCCCAGAGCTCTCGGCTGCTCCACGTGCAGCTTTGGGGGCTGGGATAGGTCATGAATCAGAGAGAAGCTCCGAAATGTGCCTTCTGCTGTTTCCATGTCTCCTTCGTCGTTTTTTCTTGCAAGTCTGAAATTCTGGAGATGAGAACTTCACGAGATGGCTGTTTTGCGACTGAAGATGGCATGGTCCTGGCTCGGCCATGCACGAATGTGCAAGATCCACCCGAGCTGATTGATTGACATAGCTTAGGTTCTTCCAAGAGGTAGCTGTCAGCAGAGATGTCACAGATTCCCTAGACCCTCCATCCACCCTCTTTTTGGACCCTAAATGCCCCTTATATATTTGGGACCATATATCCCTATTTGAGGGTGCAAGGAGGGTCCTAGTCCTCTTAGCAGTTTCTCATGACAGAGTGCCATGTGCAAATGCACGTACCGCGGCTTTGACAACTACCCATGTTCGAGGCAGGCCTGATAGCTGGCTGCACTGTGACAGGGCGCCAGTGTCATTTCACCCTTGCCTTTGGCTTTTTCTGTTATTTTGCAAAAGTTTCGGCAGAAAATGGGGCCATGGCACTCATGGCCTCTTTGGTGCATGCGTTGAACAGGCGTTTTGAAGGATGACAGTTTGCAGCGCCGCAGCATACACACTGCGCCCCGCGGAATCCGCGGCGACAGCTGCTGCGAAACACTCGGTTGGTAATGCCCCATATCACCCACGGAATCGCGATTGAGGAATGTGACCCCAACAGCCCCTCCGCCCGAATCCCTTGCAAAACGTGTCGGTATGCAAAGGCGTTTCCCAACTATTGCCTTACATATTTGGACCAGTCCGAGGGTGGGCTTCAAGGCGCTGTGGCCATAGCTTCTTGGAGTTGTAGCGGTCGCTTTGGCTTTGGGGGCTCTCCGGGTCCGTGAATAGAATAGCAGGATTTGTGTGATGCGGCTTCAGAGCATCAAGGCCCGTACCTGGTGGCTTTCTTTGACGGTTTCGCAATGTGCAGCTGTCTGTGGGGTGCTGGTTTCACACAGCCAGTGGCTTTGTGCCCTCGGTCGCCTGGACGGACACCTCCATCTGCAAGAACTGGCTTGCATCAAGAACCAGATACAGTGCAGGTTGGTAATTACTCCAAGAACTCTAGGATGCCCAGTAGTACCCTTATTCCCTTTTTGTAGTCCTAGGTTCCTTATAAAGTTACCCAATACCAAAAAGAGAGGCCTTTGTATTCTTAGGTTACTGGATATCCTAGAACTGGTTCTAGTTTGTTATTGAGGACCCTATCCGACCACTGCACGAAAAACGCCTTTGTAGTAACCCGAAGCCCTGACCCTCCTACAAAACCTGTTCTACTTATCAAGGTCCCTATTCATGTATTACGTTTGAAAGCATCGGCAGTATACTTAGATTGACAGTATATGGGCAACATAGTCAACGAATATTATGGTACGTTATTAACGACGGTCTATTATGGGGGTAATAAGGTACATCATGGTATAGTCTGGTATGTATATTGGTACGTTAAGGTATCTTATGGTATATGCTGGTATATGATAGAAGGGTGCCGAGGTGGATGGACCCTTGCGAGCTGGCGCCTCGCGACTCGAACTCGCTCTCGAAACATCGCAGGGCTTCTGTCACGCTTCTTTCGGGGTTTCAGGGTTTAGTGAGGGGTTTGGGGTTTCGGGAGAGTCAGGGTTTAGGATTTAGGGGGCTTAGGGTTTTATTAAAGGGTTTCAGGGTTTGGTGGTTTAGTTCGGGTTTCAGGGTTAAGGGCTTTAGGGTTAAGTCCTTAAGGGTGAAGGGTTTAAAAGTGTTTAAGAGCTGCAGATGAACTGATATGATTTGGGGGCATCGGATGCTAAAAGCTGGTGCCACAGCTATCTTGGATTTCTACGGCGTTTGTGTGGCCAGTCTTTGACCGTTGCAGGCACCGCGTGGAACCCCTAGCCACGACGTGGTTCCCTGAACTTGGGTGTATGACTGAGAATTCTCTTCAAGGCTCTCTACAACTTCACAGTAACATGATCGTGCCGGTACAACCAACGTAATGATGACGACAGTAACAGCGACAACAACAACACTCAAGCAGCAGGGACTGTTATATGGGGCTGGATTCATCGCACTAGCAACAACAAACGCCGAAAGGGAGCACTGCAAAAGAGCGACAGGCAGCAGGTTGGAAGTCGCAGCGAGAGCCGGCCGGCAACACTTCAGAGTGCCCCAACCGAGCCACACGCCCCAGGTGGAAGCTGCTCTCAACCTTACTAGTGGCCGGTGCCATGTGCAGCAAGGCTAGATCTTTTACCTCAGCGGAAGAGCCCCTCGCGAACATAGCCAAAAATTTAGGCCCCTTTCGCCCAGACCTGCAGCCCTTGAATCGTTGCCCTGGCGACTAGGCGTGCGCGGGGTCCCCACTTAGACAAGGCCGGGTTGTCCTTTCCATGGAGATATGTCAGTGAGCTACGACGATGTGATATCAGCTGTCGAAGGAGGCAGAACATGAGCACCTATGGGCACTGAAAGCTTAGGCTGTACATGCGGATACGACAAGAAGTGCATCCTCTCGAGGTCATGGAGCAGATTTCCGAGCGACTGTCGGAGCCTTGGGGAAGCCTTTTGGGTGGAGGAGTCCTAGTCCTTCAGCTGGGATGTGCCGCCCGAAGGGAATTAGGGCTATTCAGGGATGTTGGTCTGTCGTAGGTTACGTGATTGAGCAGTCTGTGACGAAGCCAACGTTTCTGTAGGGGTGATTACGTGTTCGCTTGCAGAGGGTTCTGGCAGCTACTAAGTTTTTGTGTCTACATCAGTTTGCTAGCTTCTTGCAGGAGTACTGCTTTTGCAGCAACGGCGGAACAGGCCTGCAACCAGAATTGTTTGGAACGCAGGAACTTTTTTCTCCAAAACGAAAGAGCTCTTGCTCTTCCATGGACAACTCTCGGTTTGAGTAGAGCTTTCCGTCCGAGCCTTCCTTTGCTTTGACTGCTACCAGTACTGTTGTTGTTAGTGCGAATCCAATAAAGCATGTCGAGAAAACAGGTGCTTGAAGGAGTTGCGACTTCCGTTGTTCAATTTGAGAGTTTCCGAAAATTAGGGGTACCTTCTTTTGGGGTCCCTATAATAAGGATCCTACTATTTAGGGTGCCATATCAGGGTCCCCTATTTTCGGAAATTCCCATTTGCTACCTCCTGCGCAAAGCGTGTGCGCCAAGGCAGGAGTTCAGCTACGTGGACTTAGCATTGACCGCCTGGTCCATGGCCACCATGAGCCTTGACCAGTAACAGTTAGTCGTTGGAGTACCCGTTTGCTGCCAGGAGTAAGGAGTTTGCTAGTCAGCAAGAGACAAAACCCACAGTACCATAAGAAACTGTATGTAGCCCGTGTTGAATGGACATGAGGCCTCGTCGGTTTTTTACTGTTCTACGATCCAAGGCAACATCTCGACAAGGGGCATATTTTCGAATCCGGAGCATGAACCACACCGACACGCCTAGCTGGTAGAATGAACAGCACTCCCATCTATCGTGGACCTGACCCCTCCAGAGCAACCGATCCCAGGAAGTGGGACCCTCCAGGTGCCAGTCCAGGGAGGGTAGCTGGGCGACGGGGAGCTAGGATCACTTTCACAATTTCGTGGTTGCGGAAGGGCGTCAGACGATGCATTCCCAAAACCCAGCGACTTTCGGCGCCACCATGCAGGCCTGTACGACCGCATCAGCAAGCTCTCCCTGGCATGCATTGCCCCTTGGCAGGTCTTAAGATGCCCAAACCGTTGAAAAGCCTCGAAAGTAAAGGGTTCCATTACTTGTATGTTGATAAGCATCGAATATCTTCAAAGCCTCTAAGCCTCAAAGGTTTTCAAAGGGATCCGCAGCCTTTGGCCACTGAGGGCGAGTTTCAGCCCCAGGCCAGGCCGGATCCAATGCAACATTTGTTGATGTGGTTTTTGCAGTTTCGGGTTTGTGAGTCTAGGGTTTAGGTTCAGGGGTTCAGGGTTTGGGGGTGCATTGCAGTCCGGGTCAGGAGCGGCAAACTACAAGGCGCGTCCTTGCAAGCAAGCCTGCAGCAAAAAGGGTCAGGATCAGACAGACTTGAGAAGCAAGAAGCCCGTTGCAAGGGTTCTTTGACGTTTCGACTGAGAGGGAGAGGGTTGGGGTGCTTTAGTAACGTACTCATAGAACACAGAAGAAGCAGTGGGTAGTGTAGAGAGCCTCTTCGGGCTCCAGTTCAAGCTACTTCCTTTTAGTTCATGCCTCACAGACAAGATGTGCAGTTGTGTGTAGGGCCATTGGCGGCCAAGGTTCATGAATTTCACAGCTTCAGGGACAGGACAGTCGAAGGCGTTCGTCTCTACGAAGCCTGAGGGTAAACAAGTTGTTGGGCTCGCGTCAGGTGACAAAGTAGGCTTTAGGGTCCAGCGCGCATGACTACAGAAAAAGCATCGAATGCCCGACTCAAACCGGAAGCCCCCCCGTGAAGAAGTTGCCATGACGAGTAGGCGCTTGCGAACATCATGTGGGCCACCGCCACACTGAAGAAAGAGAATGATGCTCGGCTGCAGCACAGGTACGTATAGCAGCAGCACAGTTTAAAGAAGGTGACCGTCCTGCTTTGCCACATGTTTTCGTTGCCTGGCCTCCTTCGAACGAGGATGCGCTCATCCGCCACTCAGCGTACGTGGCGGTCGTTGGCTGAGTAATACAATGGTGTGCCAGGCCATGACCACGTGGAGCGCCCCCTCTTGTCCCAAGAACTCAGGGTTTGATTTATGATGGAGGACTCTCCAGTAGCCTCTGCGACTGCAAACAATCGGGGGGGGGGGGGGGTGCGCAAGGTCAAGCATCTGGACGCGGGCATGAATTTCCGACCGTACGAGTACTCGACCATGGTGCGCCTTGGGCAACACTGAGGCTCTTTTCAAGTGGCAATATGTGATTTCCTTCGGGGACTGTTTCACTTCACTTGGCCGGGTTCGGCCGGGCACTCGAAGCCGATAAATCGAGGCGCAGCTTCGTTTCGTGGGATGGCTTTGGCTCGAAGATTCCTCTTTTGCCTTTGGTACCTTTCTGGGATCAACCGAAGTGTCCAAGGTGGTCCATGGTGATTACCCAGGCTCGAGAAGAGGCCCTCTTCAGCCGGGTCTCAGGCACGCAGCACGGTGTGTGGGTCTGGGGTGCTGAGGGTTGCGATAGCCTTAGCTCAGGGGCCAAGCAAGTTCAAATCTCAATCCCCAGTCGTGACTCCGGCAAAGACGGAGGTCGGGCAAATGGCAAGCAATATAGGGGCCCCAATAAATCGAATAGGGTGTTGGGCCCATTATACTATAAGTATAATAAGGAACCCCCCAAACTAGTTTAGGTAATTATTCAGGCCCCTATAGTATGCTCTGTTCGCCTTTTAAGCTCTTTCGCCTGATCACACAGCGAGCGTCAGACTGTTTGCTGCTCCCGTGGTCTCGACCCTGGACCTTTATTGCAAGCGCAGCCCTTCCGAAACATTATAGTCCCATTCCAGCATCATGTCGATTTTATCGTTATGTCTCGTACTTGTTGCTTCTTACTTATTACTATTACTACTACCGCTTCTCTTAGTTAGAGCATGCTTCGGTCCCTCAGGCCATGTTGTCCGACGCGTGACCGAGTTCGGGCCACAGGCGGGCGCCTGCTTGTTTATACGGCTAATTTGGTTTTCAATCTTGTGCAAGAAGCCTTTATAGAGGTGTAGAACTTAGCGCCTGGTTGGAGGCTGGAGTAAGCCGGTGGCTTTCACGGTCCAGTATTTAAGGCTGTTTGTCGCGGTTGAACGGCTCGGAAACAGGCTCTTTGTTGGCCTTTGGGCCATCGGACCATGAGAGTCCGCGACACAGGGAGATTTGAGGTGCATCACTTCGTGGTGACATTGCAAGTGTCCAAGCAATTTCGCCTTGTCAAGTCTTTCATGGTAGCAATCCGAGCCTGCGGTTGTTCTGTCAGCAATTTTAACATCTGTATTGTGGGCTTCATTTCGGTTCTGAACATGATTTGCAGTCTTCCTGTTTCGTTTTTGTATTGCTGCTGCGAGTTATTAGCAGTTGTGTCGCTCTTATTGTTGTTGTGGTTGTTATGCTTATTTCAGAACAAAAGTACTGAAGTAGCCGCAGTCGTCGTCCTCGTCGTAGTGGAAGTTACCGTAGCAGCAGTAGAAGTAGTCGTAGTAGTAGCAGCAGCAGGAGTAGTAGTAGTAGTAGTAGTAGTAGTAGTAGTAGTAGTAGTAGTGGTAGTGGTAGTGGTAGTGGTAGTGGTAGTTGTAGTCGTAGTGGTAGTGGTAGTGGCAGTGGTAGTGGTAGTGGTAGTGGTAGTGGTAGTGGTAGTGGTAGTGGTGGTAGTAGTAGTAGTAGTAGTAGTAGTAGCAGTAGTGGCGGTGGTGGTAGTAGCAGCAGTAGTAGTCGTAGTAGTCGTAGTAGTAGACCACTTGCCGCTCATTCCACATAGCAGCTCGACATGTTCATGAAACCAAAATCAGCCTGCTCCCGTTTGGGAGGTTAGTTAGGGTTTGAGGACAGAAGATGGCGAAAGGAAATTGCGACCCCAGACACCACATGCATCATAAATGCATGGAAGGTGCCGCACCGTCGCATGTAGTCAGCCACCTAAATTGCAGCCAGGAGCTGACTAACACAGCGTGGGCGTTTGCCTCCTTGGGCTTCAAGACACAGGCGGGGGTTCCTTGAGTGCCAACGAAGTTAGCGTTTTGCTGATTCTTGCAGTGGCTTTCGTGCTAGACCTGAAGTTCGACAAAGGTTTCAGGAGGTCCGGCCGAAGGAACAGCGTGACTTTGCTATTGTAGGAGACGCTGGCAGTGGCACATGCAAGTCACAAGTGTCGTCCACAGGATGCTACAGGTGCAGGCGGGGGTGGCTTTTCAACCAGGGCAGGCTAACTGGCCTAGGAGTGGCCCCAGAAGTGGCCAGCATTCGGCGCATCCAACTCAACGTCTAGCACTTCGTAGGTCCCCATCCTCGAAACGAAGGCTCATAAGCGGTCGAGATTGGGCAGAAAGTGAGTGTAGACTTGTTCGGCAGGCTTGTGTGCACGATTCTGTCGGTCCTGTTGCCATGGCTCTTCGGATTGCCTGATGCCTTCTCGACCCCAAGCTTGGCTAGGGAGTGAGGCAAGCTGATAGCAATCTAAGCTCATAACTATCCCTTCGAGGTGTTATTGCTTTGGCTGTGTCTCAAGTCCAACCGCTTCTTTGCCGCAGGGCTTGTTCGAGGCATTGGGCAAAGAATGCGTCTTGCATGCATCCTTGCCGTTCAAAATTAGTGCCATGTTCTTTTGGAATCTGCCACTGCTGTTGTACCACTCAGGTAGCGCAAAGCTTCGCTACTTCAATTTGCCCCTTTGAAGCAGCACATGATCGCCGTTCTATTTGCTTCTTTCGCAGGGACGCGGTTGCAGCCAAGGCAGAATCTGACCAATGTCGCCTGGTCCTATTCTCATCTGAAAGTCTGCGACGACCTGCTGTCAGAGGTGGCAGCAGTGGCACATTCTCGGATCCATGACATGATACTGGGCTCAGATTCATTCTTCTTTCTGTGTTTTATTTCCTCTCTTCGTCTCGTACGGAACGTTTTTCTGCTGCAGCGTAGCCACGATCCGATACAGAAAGAGTGCTTCGCTTGTAACGGAACCTAGGAACGTCCAAGATCTGGCTCAGCTGGTTCCAATCTCAGACTCTGGCAGTTAGGGTTTACCGTTTAGGCTCACTATTACTTGAGGAGTTTTCGCTGGCACACAATCCAAGCCCATGCTGAAAAGGGTCACTACTACAAAGACTCTGTAGAGGCTCTGAAGTTCAACAGTTTGGCCAAACCATGCAGCAAGGTCTTACACAACTGTCTTGTACTCCAAAGCGAAAGATCACAGCCTTGCAACGTTTTGTTGTACATGGCTTCTGAAGTCGATGTCTAGACTGCTTCTTATGCTTGCCTATGACACCAGTGCGTTGCACAACCTTGAGATACTGTAAGCCTCACATGCTGCACCACGAGCTTGCGTGTCACCGCAACACGTGGTCTTCAGGCTCTTACTACAAGCATAGTCTGAGGCAATATTACTAAGTTCAGAGGTTGAGGGTTTGGAGTCACTACTACTAAGACTCTTACTACAAGCACATGGGCTGGGCCCCTTTTTTTGTAGAGCGTGGCCCAGGCCCTGACACTCGTCTTCAGCCGGCGCGCAAACTTCGGCTTGAAGGCCATCCCTGGGCTGCAGGGTTTGGCCTTCATTCAGGGATAATTCTACTATATTATGCGGTCATCTGCTCATAACAGTATACACTACGGTAGACTAGAACATGTGACAAAAGCAAGGGTCCGTCCTTTGTCGCAGTTTTGGATGAAAGTCCGTCAATCTCACCTCTGAGGATGGCAAGGAAAGCAAATCTTGAACCCAAAGACGGGGCCGAAACACCCTCAGTAGTGTTCCAACCCAACTCGACCCCCCATCGGGCCACTTCCCACGAACACATGTAGTTATACAATCAAGCAAGCAAGCAAGTATGTTTGCTTGGTTTTCATGTATGTCTTCATGTAAGTGCGAAAAATAATGATGCAACAGCAAAACCACAGAGGTATTTAGCTGAGTAGATCAATACACAAGCATGTAAGGAAGGAAGTAAGCAAGTAGGCAAGTGAAATGCACTTCACATGTGCATATGTACGTGTGTGTTTTATAGATTTTTTTAAATATGTATACATATGCATATATTTGAATACACATGTATATACAGATGACATACATATGTATGCAAATGTGTGTGTGATGCCTGACATGTGCAACTTCTAGGAGGATCTCGGGGACGATGGCGTGCTCGGCAGTCGCGACCTGACCCTGGCATTGGTTGTCGAGGCCTTGTCCGGTACTCACAGCAGCTGTAGTGCAGAACGGGTTGTCACGACAGCCTGGGTTTGTAGGGTTTAGGACACCTTACCAATGAAAACATGGAGACTCCCCATCATAGAAGCTATTCTTCAAAGTCTGTATAAGTTTCCACCATCTTGTCGATTGAACCTCTTATTGAGGATTCAGGCCTCAGTCACGATCCCCCGATCGCGTCGCGGTACTGTGGTAGAAGCATTGGGTAACTGGAGGGTGCGTGCCTGTACGGTGATATCTGCAATTCCTTCCTGTGGCTTAATGAGACATCAGGACTTGTCCCGTATATTGCGCTTCATGAAGGCACTCGAAGATTGCAGCGTGCAGAGGGTCGCGTTTTCCATGGCTACAACGACAGATGCACGGCTAGTGAGAGATGAAGCCATCAACCGGAAAAGATACCCAGATCCCCCAACGACTCTCTATTATATTATTATACCCTAAATACTCGCCATTGAGGACCATAAGGGCCTTTATTAAATGGCATTTGGGGGGTCCTGGTACACGGCCCTTTACCCAAAAGCCCTCTCCTCCAGGTGACCAAAGCCATGGTGCAAAAGATTCGCCAGCCTGGCGTCACGAACCTTGGCAGGTCCCAATATCTTCAGAGCACTTAGGAAGCGTTTGGACTGTTTATTATCGCAAAAACTCTTAAAGGGTTATTGGGAACATTATCGTTATGATGGCTCTAAGGGTGCTTAAGACATGTCATGCGTTTCGTCTTTAGCGGCTTTGGAGTTTGAACCGATGGGAGTCAGCACGAGGTACAGTGCAAGATTGTGCGTTGTTGCCAGTGCGGCACAAGCCAGGCTTGAAAAGGAAGGTCTGGGTCTGGAGATTGCAACGAAACACTCACTTGCCCCTTCAGCGGTTGATCTCTATAGAACCTTAATACAAAAAGGAACATTTCCGAAGCCGAGGACGCCGGATGACGCTTGGATCGTGCATGACCTTGTGCTCGTGTGGCTGGAGGCACAGTAGGGTTGATATCATACAAGGGCCGAAATACATACCCATACTGTTCTGGGGGTTCCTTATGATAATCACTGCATGTATAATATACCCCCCAAACCCTATTCTAATTGTTAAGGCCCCTATATATTAGCGTTTAGGGTGACACGGTGGCACGCTTTGCACATCTCTTCCCACTTGCGATCCCAAAGGCTCCATGTACCCATATAGTAGGTACTCAAGCCCAAAAGTACCCATGAAGGGACCCCTTTAAGGCCTAAGTAGCTACTATGTGGGAGTTTCCGAAAATTAGGGGTACCTTATTTTGGGGTCCTTATAATATGGATCCTGTGTTATTTAGGTACTATATTAGGGTCCCCTATTTTCGGAAACTCCTATATGACCCTCAGGAGAGGACGGCCTCGGATCTTCTGGGCGACACATGGAAGATGCTGGACGCGTGCCCATGGGAGTTTCCGAGCATAGGGGTAGCTTAGGGTTCCTTTTTTAAAGGGATCCTATAAGGGCTACTATAAGACTGATTATACGGGGGTTTCCGAAAATTAGGGGGTACCTTATTTTGGGGGCCTTGTAACAAAGATCCCAGTATTTAGGGAACTATATTAGGGGAGTCAGAGCCGCGTTTGTGGATCCATGAAGTATGCTGTCGTCGAATGCGAGGTACATGTCTGGCCTTTGCCTCAGTACTATCAGTACTGCTTTACGGTCCAGGGCTCTTCAGACGCTGCACTGAGGTCTGTACCAGCAAGTTCTAGATTTCCTTCGCAACACTCCGCTCCTGGCACGCGCAGGGCCCTTACTTATGGAATCCGTGGCTCTGGCCGACACTTCTTGCTTGCGATGCAGTTACCGAGGCCTTGGCTTGCGGCTCTGTTGTGCAGTCTGCGCATGTCCCGATCTACGAGCAGCTCTTAGACTGCATGTAATACTCGATTTGGGGTTTAGGCTTTTTAACTTCGGGGTATATCTTATTAAAGGATACTCAAGAGTGCTTATGAAAGCTGTGCTCCCAAGGACCGCTTTGTTTTCTGTAGCTTCTATTCCGTAGCTTGCAGGCCGTGTGCAGCACGAACTCAGGTCGTTTCGAGAACTCGACATCAGGCCAGTTGACATGCAGACGAAATATGCAACTTCACCCCAGAACCCTTCACCGCTTAAACCCTGGACCCGGAACCCGAGTTCGTGTTGTAGATCCTGCCAGGTCCCTGGGGATCAAGTACACCGGCATGCTGTTGTCTGAGCTGGGCCTGACTGACAGGCCTGGAAATTGCCAGGGTAATTACGTCCTCATACCGTTGCAGTTAAGATTTCGCATGTGCTAGAGTAGCTGTGCGCATCGGTCATAGAAATAAACAACGACACACACACACACACACGCACATCAGCTAATATACCCTCAGTGCTTAAGAAATTCGGTGCTTAGTCTAACCGGGCGCCATCGCCATGATCCGAACCCAGGCTTCGGCGGTGGGGTCTCTTCAGGCATCGCCAGAATTGGTCACTAGTTTACCCTCACGTTGCGAAACTTCCGTATTTGCGCTGTTCAAGGGAAATCCTGCGAGGAGCGACTTGCTCGTACTTTGCTCGGCAGAGCGGAGCCGTCGAATCTTGGAATTACTCACATACTAGGTGCGAGCTTCTGAACTCTTCGGCATGTGCTTGTGTCTTTTGGGTGTCTACACTTTCATTTGCATCTGCATGTGCAACGCGCGTACAAAGGAAGATGGTGAAGTGTACTGTAGATACAAGGGAATTGACCGGAATGCATGCATGTCTGCATGCCAAACTCTGAGAGTGCGTCTGCAAGTTGGTGTGCTCGTGTCTGTGTGCACTTGTTTCCTCTACACTCTTCTGTGTCTCCCTGTCTCTCTGTCTCGCTCTCTCGCTTGCTCTTTCTTCGTAAACAGTTGTGGTGGTATCGCATGCCTGTCTCAAGCATTATGCATGTAGCTGAATTGTTGTGAGCCTGTTTGCCTTGCTCTCCACACATCTCTGTACAATCGCGAGTATGTACATAAGCCGGGTCGTTTTACGGCACAGTGTTTATGCATGTCTTCGATCGCACATTTGTAAAGAATGGAAGTATCCAAAGGCCAAAGACCGACAGCTGAGAGACGCATTATCATCACTTCTTGTTGCTTCAGCTTTATGCCTACTTGTTCAATGTCTTGGTTCTGGAAAGGAGAAGGAAGACACCTCTGCGTCGAACGTGCGGCATCATGACGTCCCCAAAACAAGCTGACCTGTGAAGCAGCATAGCCGAAAGCGTTTACGAAATTTGACCGCCGGTTCACTTAAGACTTCACGCATCTACGTGTTCGTCCATCCATGCATCCGCCCATCCGCCCATCCGTCCATCCGTCCATCAGTCCCATCCATCCATCCATCCATCCATCCATCCGTTTGTTTGCCTGTCTGTCCGTCCATCCGTCTGTCTGTCTGTCGTCTGTTTTCCATCTGTTTATTTGCTTATCTATCTGTCTATCTATCGATCGGGATACTCTGCTGCTGCATCCTACGAGTGCAATGGTGAAAGCTCCGAACCCCAACCACACGGAACGCAAAAAGTGCCTCTTCGGAATGGCAGGGAAGACGATGGGCTGACAGAGTCAGCGCGCGTCTTGCTGGCGGAGGACTGTCGATTTGAACTTGTTGGGCTTACTCGAGGTTCATGGGTTAGTTACAAGTGGAGTTATAATTAGGGTAACCAAAATTAGAACTAATTATATACCCCATATTAGGGGACGTAAAACACCACTTATAACTACCCATGATCCGAGCTGTATCTTTCAGAATCCTTCAGAACTAAATGCGAGGGGCCTCCAAGAAGTGACTGGCATTTTGACCATGCGCGCCGGCATTTCTCAAAGAACTATGCAGGCTGCTGCGTGAGCCTTCAACGAAAGTCTCGGAATATTACTATTACTATTACTATTACTAGTACTGTTACTGTTACTGTTACTGTTACTGTTACTGTTACTATTACTACTACTATGACTATGACTATGACTATGACTATGACTATGACTATGACTATGACTATGACTATTATTATTACTATTACTATTACTATTACTATTACTATTACTATTACTATTACTAATACTAATACTAATACTATTACTATTACTATTACTATTACTATTACTATTATTATTACTATTACTATTACTATTACCCCTCATCAGAGGCCACGACTCGTGGGAAGCGCGCCTGCGTGGACCAAACGTGTCATGAATGCCTTGTTCACATGTCAGGCCAACCGGTTCAAAGCTTGTCACCAAACCCAGTTTTATATTCTGTGATGTAAGACAATTCAATCTGACAAGAGCTTGTTTGCTGCCCAGCTTAGAGGCTTTGGTTTGCTGACGGCTTTCACTCCCAGAGTGGCTTGATGCATGAGTACATTACAAACAGCACCCAGTTTGCAAAAAGCCGCCTCACTGTGCAGAGCAGTTTCCGTGTCAACTTCTGTGCAACAGCATGAGCTGAAGTCGTCTTTCTCCCCCACTCCGCACAGGAGAAAGCCGCGCTTCTGCGTCAGGCTCGGCCGGGGTTGACTCAGTGAGACAGAGAGAGGCCCATGCTTGAAGTATTCATCGGGGCCCAATGAGTCAACTCTCGGGAAGGTTTTTCTAGTTCTTGCCGCTGGTTTCTCCAGGTAACTTTTCTGATACACGGGAGAGAGGGGGGACTCAGGCTTTCGTGTCTGAAACCTAGATGCACTCGTCCCCTCAATACACGGGGAAAATCTCCGAACAAGGCTCAGGTGGCAAATCTTCTTCTTATTGATTTTTTAAATCTTACTAGTACTATTGTTGCCGGTGGACTGCTCACCAGAGGCTTGAGATTGGGGGAAAGTTTCGCTGAGAGTATACATGTCTCCTCTTCTACTATCGTATCATTTATGGGTGTAGCCCTAGGAGAAAATATGCTCGTTCGTCACCTCCCACATTCTCGCACTAGCCACGTGCGTGTGGGCTTGAGCGAGCAATTCCACATCTTTTCTGTAAAATAACTCAAGGTCCCAACTTCCCAAATGTGTCATGTTGGGTCATACGCAAGCCCTGAACCCATCTAGCACCCCTGTTATATTAGCCTTAGCCCTTATGCTGCAAGGCTTTTTGCCTCATTCATGCCCCTCCGCTGCTGCAGGATCCCGGAGCCGGAAGCCAGAACTGGTGTCTCTTTCGCCGCTTCGGTGTGCAAGAAAGGAGCGGAGCCCTTCATGAATATAGGGTTCCTTTAAAGGGTTCTATAATCTATAGTAGGGGTCTATGATATAGGGGCCTCAATAATTAGAATAGGGTTTTGGTGCCCGTTATACTACAATTATACCAAGGAACGTTATCTAGGCCCTATATTAGGTCACTTCAGGTCCTTCAGGGGACAGGCTTGATGAATTAGTTTAGACATTGCTCCGACGGCAGATATCACACGGTCTTTCACTTACCTTTGCTTAGTAGGGAATGGAAGGATGGTAGTACTAGTAGTTATAATTGTACCTCATTCCTCCATTCCCCACTAACCAAAAGCAAGTATCCCTTTAAAGGAACCCTAAACCCCTATAGATCCCTTTAAAGGAGCCCTATTCCCTACTAACCAATGGTATGTTCAACTTCTGCCGAGGCTTCCACCTCAGCTCTGAGCTGCGGGAGGCGAAGGCGATCTGGATTCCAACCCATAGGCCCCAAAGTAGTTCCTTTTTGGGGCTCATATTTAGAATGCCATGAGATAAACTCCAAAAGGAACTACTATGGGGCCTATGGGCAGGGATGTTTAGGGAGTTACAAGAGGTTTCAGGCTTTAGGCTCAACGCGTGGGGCTTTAGAAGGTTTCAGGTTTTCGTTTGGACAGGGACCTCGTTTGTTTTTGCGCAGTTTCTTCATCTACAAAGGGTTATGCCGCCCGTGCAGGCGACACAGCAGCGTAGGGTTTGGGACTCCCAACAAGCTGTGAGAGCTCGTTATTGCGGGGAGTGCACAGCACTCCACTCACTACGCCCTCTTTGACTCGACCTTCGGGATCTTCGGCTTTGAGTATCGAGGCTCATCGCTCTTCTGTTGTGGCTTAGGGGTTTTCTATGGGTGTCGCACGGGGATGCAGGTTTCGCGTCGATGCCAAGGCCTCGACACTGTCCTGGATGTTGAGCTTCGTAGTTTGGGGTGCATGCATCGCGTTGCAATTAGTAAAGACTGTTCGAAATCGAGCCACTGACACTGGCATTAATCGTAAAAAACCGGCACCGATTGCAGGAAAATGGTAGCAGTAGGTCGGAAGCATTCAGCAGACAAAGCAACATCATCATCACAAGTTGCACTGAAGTAGCTGTCGTCAGTGTTGCTCTTTGTAACATTGTGGATGATGATGTTGAATTCATGGCAACCGTAATGGTAGTCTTCTTGGTCATGAATTCGCAAGAACAGGCTGCACTGATAGCTGCTGCTACTACTACCACTACTGCCTCGGCTAACGCCCACTGCCAAAATCACTATCACTACACACTTCTATTCCTCCTACTACTGCTGCTGCCACACGGCTGCAAGTGCTAGTACTGCTACCCCGCTACTAGTACGACTACTGCTGCTGCTGCTACCTACTTACTACTCCTTCTTCCAGTCATACTCATACTACTGCTACTACTACCTCTGGCTAACTCTACCTCTTCTACTCCTACTTCTACTACTCCTACTCCTACTCGTGCTGCTACTTCTACTGCTACCACGACACTAATGCTTCTACTTCTTCTGCTGCTGCGGACAATATTTAAATAATGCTTCTCCACACACGAATAGTTGGCCATACTAAGTAAGCAACAGCAATAACTCCAATTACGATTCTGGCAGGAGCTGGCTGGCATCCGCGTCAGGACGCACCGGCATACGGCAAGCGGTCGGCTTCGGCGAACGGGGATTTTCCATGTTAGACCTTTTCAGGTCATGGTTTTTATTCGGGGCCTCATGTTAAGGGTGTGTAAATGTCTGTGTATATATATATATATATATGTATAGTATAAATACATATATACATGTATAAATAGCTGTATATTTATTGTTATATACCGTGCCATGCTCTGACGTACTGTTTCGTGTTGTAACTGGTACCGTAGATGATGCTAGAGTCTAACCTGTGCCAATGCACTATTGTCAGCATGGTGGAGCGATGTGTGCTTCAAAGCCCCCACAACAATGGCAAGTCCAGGAAGTTGGCGTCAGCATGGCAGAACACATGCACGAGTAAGCGATTCTCAAGTCATGCTGGGCCTGAAGACACGCACATATGCAGGTCTGAGCGCATGTGCATGTAGAAGAATTTCATGCAAAAGGAGCTGCGGCGGAGATCCGCTTGCCTTGGAACTGCTGGACCCTCCACGAGAGGTCGGCAAAGTGTGATGAAGGATATATGTAACGTAGTGGCTGCAGTGGAGCAGTGGCGGCAGTAGCTATCGTCGTTCTAGTTCTGGTATTAGCACATGTACTAGTACTAGCATTAGTACATATTAGTACTTGTCACAGGGTACCTGCAGAGCAGGGTCCGACGGACGCTGACAAGTGGGAGCCAAAAAGTACTTGTCGCAGGAGTAGTAGTAGTGGTAGTAGTAGTAGTAGTAGCAGCAACAATAGTACTAGTAGAAGTAGTAGTAGCAGCAGCAGTAGAGTATAGTAGTTGTTGTAGTATGTGGCGACGGTAGTGGTAGTGGTCGTAGCAATCGTGGTTAGTAGCAGCAGCAATAGAGTATAGTAGTTGTTGTAGTATGTGGCGACGGTAGTGGTAGTGGTCGTGGCCATCGTGGTGGTGGTAGTGGTGGTGGTGGTGGTGGTGGTGGTGGTGGTGCAGTGTTCCTTGCTTCTGGAAGAGCCTGTTACTGGCGATTGCATTGTGGCAAAGTGCTGTGCATGCGTTGATTTGAACTTCCCGTCAAGGCACATCTAGTGGCCGTCCGTCTCAGCAACGATCGCTTGAACCATCGCCGCCGTGACGCCGAGTTCCGAGCGTCCTGCCCTTGATGCCAAGTGCAGGCTGCCCACAGCGATAGTGAAGGGGCCCGAATAAGCAGAACAAGGTTTGTATATCAAAGTATACGGAGCCCTGAGGAATCATACTGGTAGTTACTACAAATCAGCGCAGCGAACAACTACCTGGTAGTTGTTCGCCGCGCTGATTTCAGTGCGCCTGAGCGGTGCAGTTGGGTGTTGGCGATAGTGCTTGAGGCTCGCCCACACTGCGGGCGTCTTGCGCGGCCTGATCCCCAATGCGGACCAGCTGATGCAGGAGTGCTCGTGATAGGCCGAGGTTTGCTGCGCTTCGGTAAGCCATCAGAATATTGGTGGTGGAAATCTGTACAAAGGCGGAGGACATGGTGCAAGGGTTGATCGTGCTCCATGCCTGGATATGGTTGCCGTCTAAACTAGTGCCAGGAGCGCATTGTGTGGGGGAACCGTCTTCGCGGATGGGTTCATCTGCCTCGAACTCAGTACGTTTGGCACTGGGGCTTCGCAGATCGACTGTTTCGGGATGTTGGGATGTTCTTTCTATCATGCTAGAGGTTGGGAGTTGAAATGGTTGGAGATTTGGGCGTAGACTTGTGGAGCTTGGGACTTAGGGTTGTCTGCGACAGGGTAGGGTGGGATATGGCCGCCGTATACACGAAAGCCTCGCTCAACCTTCTATGTACTTGCAGCCAAACGGATCGCCCTGCTTTCATGAGTGCACTGAAAGTAAAGTTGAGGGATCGGGCTTTCTAGTCTGGGCCTTGCTGCGTTGGAGTTCTAAATCCTAAATAAAATACTTCAGTTCTCGTGCCTGTAAGATACGAGCTCCTTGCAGGGTAAGGCTTGGTACAGCTTCCTTTAGCGAGGCTGCGAGCAGAAGTAGGCCACAACTTCGATGTACAGTCTGGAGGATAGTTTTTCAGAGGCTTGGGTGGAGGGAGTGTAGCTGCAGGAGAAGGCATACGGCATGCGAATATGCTTCGCTTGCTTCTCCTACCCTGCATCCCACTTCCGATGTTGGGGTGCCATTTTTTCAGTACGTGTTGCTAGTCTCACACTCAAGCCGTGACCCTGTCCTTCGTAATCGTATGTGAATTGCTGACGATTGGCAGCACTACAAGTATTAAAATTACCAGTATCATTACGGCACCTATATTTAGGGTACCCAAAAAGGGACCATAATTTGGACAACTACCTTATTGGGATGTTATTGTCAGGGTTCTTATCAGCCAAGGTACGTGACGGAAGTGCCTTGCCTTTCCTGCCTCGGTGCCATGGTTCAGCTCCCTGGTGTGCAACGGCGTTTAAGGAATTCAAGGTTTAGGGGCGTTAAGGTTTAAGGAATTTAGGGTTCAGGGCAAGACTGAACTTAGAACATGGTGTTCACCACTAAGTCAGGGTTTTCGGGCTTAGCGACCGGTGAAACGCGGTGTTGGAAACCTTGTGCTGGTACCTTAGCCTTTGAATCGCTGAACCTGAAGACGTCGCACAACCGCCTGCACAAAGTGACAGGTTTGCGCGCCGCTTCCCTCGGGTGCAACTGCGTGTTGCGTATCCGGGCAGCCAGGGCCCTGGGTTTATGAACCCGTGGAGGTCGAGGTTCAATGCAGAAAGTATAGAGGCCAAACTAATTACCAAAACCGCCGTTACTTATTTAAAGTTTACTGGGCCCCAAAACCCGATTCTAATCATTAAGGCCCCTATAAGAGTGGAATGCGCCTGAAGAAGTGCAAGTTCCACTTGAGTCTTCTCGCAAAGCTCTTGATTTCAGCCGCTGCAGGGTCATCAATTTGTGGTAGTCTACTTGTAGAACGGCCTTCTTCATGGGAAGCAGTGAATGCATTGTATGCAGGTCGACGACCTTTATGCCTCTACGAAGTCGTAAACCCAGACCCAACAGCTAACATCATGATGTGTGTCCTCTTCACTCCTAGGTCCTAGGCCCTGAAACCATTTGCGTTAACTCCAAATGTTAGCCGCCCACTGGGAATCCGGTTTCAGCTTCTCGCCAGTCGCTAGCCGGAAAAAAGCGACGTGAACAAATTCTCTTAAGCATCACTGGCCCTCTCTTCATGCCACGGCTTTAGGACTCTAGCTTTGGGGCCGTTTCACGATCGCCCTCCCCCCCCCCCCCCCCCGCCCCCACCCTTGCTCTGGAGGCTCCCAAGCCCCAGAGGCCCTGAACGCTGAAGTCTTTGCACAGCACCGCTCCCGGAATCCTAAGTGCCCGCCGAAGGCCTGACACCCTTTTGATCAACAATCTTGTTACTAGTGTTGTTCGGTATGTTCAGCATGACTGCCATCAACTTCGGCGGAAGAGGGCAGCTTGTTGAGCGGTCACTGTCAAGAAGCTGAACCTTTCTTCGCTCTCACAAGAACCAGGGATTGGGGAATACACTTGAAACAGCAAAGAATTGTCGTGCAAGACGGAAGCACAATCTAGCCTAGGGCCTAGATCGAGTTGGGATGTTCCGAACATCAACGGCTGGTCAGACTGCAGAGGATGAGTTCGCTGATGTTGGAAGCGTCCGCCATGTCTCTCAGTAGATTCGGTGGTATCTAGGGAGACACTGAGGACCAGTATGAGGCAGAACACAATGGGGTTCCTCCTTTTCCCGGCAGGGATGTATTTGAAGGTGACAGAAGCAAGTGGTAGATGCAATGTGAACCACAAAATGGTTGTTTTGATGAGCCCAGAGGCAATCTACCAGAGGGGTTATGGTTAAGAGCTGAGAGGTTTGCTCCGAATGCAAGTGTGAGTGCCGAAACCAATGTGCGGCTGATGCATCGGATCGCTACGCCCCCGATCCCCAATCCCAAGACCAGCGACATTGACTGCCTCTGTTCGAGGTGATCAGTATCCTCCTCGAAGATGACGGCCTGTGTGGAAAAAGAGTTGAATCCAAAGTCTGCTTCGGAAGTGTTCCTGTTCGGAGGTCGGATGCACAAGATGCCAGTTGTGTTCTACTGTTAATGACGGCTCGTAGGTACATGACGAAGATCAACAGTAAGGAGTTTGGTCCTCGCGAGACGAAGTTGAAGGGAAGCTCTTGAACGGAAATCTGAGGGTAGGAGCTCAAGAAGAGCTGCGAGAAAGAGACAGAGATGGAGAGAGAGAGAGCAAGACAGGCTCCCGAAGCCCTACGCCCGTGCGAAGGAAAGAAGAGATAGAGTCACTTGCCCCATGTTCGGAAGCGAAAGCCAAATAGTTGTGAGTTGCCTGTCAAATGGTCAAATGCTGTGCTTTGTGTTGATGTCGTGTCTTGCAAGTCGGGTTTTACCTTAGGGGATCCTACTCTTAAAGCGCTGGCAGGTAGCAGGTGCACGCTTTAGGGTTTAGGGTTTTAGGGGTCGTCCCTACTAGTTTCTTGAGCAAGGTATGGAAGTGCAATCAGGAGTGCTGACCTTCCGTCCATGTATTCAGGCGATTGCACAAGTCCTGATGCAAAAGGGTTCATAGGGCCATAGGGTTTAGGGTGTTAGGGTTCAGGATTCTAAACCCTAAACACAAGGCTCCATCGTTAGTTTTGAGGACCCCACGGTCACGGAAAAACACCAGAAGGCTTTGCAAGGTTTGTAAAGGTACAGCCCAGACATAGCACACGACTGGCTCGTGCTGGAAGCTTAGCTCCAGGAGGGTTTAGTCCAAGGCTGCAAAGGCCAGCCACAGAGCCCTGCCAGCATGCAGATCACGGCCCCGGGCCCAGCATCCGAAGCGGGTTTCTACCGCAGCGCGACCCCATTCCTGCTCGGCGCCCCTCCTGCTCCCAAGCCGCGCTGGGAAGGCCGACACTTCGCCTCGAGCGTTTCCGCAGGCCTCGCTGCCACCTGGCACGTGGCCAGGCGTGTGCGCTTGTGTGCAGCTTCTCCCACCAGGACTGTCAATCCTGGCACAGGCGAGTGGACTGTGCCCAAGGATTTCGCGAAGCCAGCAAACATCGAGAACACAGCAAACTACAAGGAGGCGAAAGCGCTCTCCGCAAAATTCGTGCAGATCAGCAGCCAGGTCAAGCAGAAAACAGTTGCCGTGATCGGGGGAGGACTTTCTGGACTGGCCTGCGCCAAGTATTTGTCCGATGCTGGTCACAGAGCCATCGTCCTCGAAGCTCGCGATGTCCTCGGCGGCAAGGTATCGGCATGGCAGGATGAAGATGGAGATTGGGTCGAAACCGGCCTACACATCTTCTTCGGTGCCTACCCCAACATGATGAACCTGTTTTCCGAGCTCGGCATTGAGGATCGACTACAATGGAAGCGGCATCAGATGACCTTTGCCATGCAAGAATTCCCCGGGGAGTTCACAACCTTCGAATTCCCAGGATGGCCAGCCCCGTTGAACATGGCCGCTGCGATTTTGGGGAACCAAAAGATGTTGTCCCCTTTGGAGAAACTGCAAACTGGGCCGCCATTGCTGCCGATGCTGGTGGAGGGCCAGAGCTTTATCGACGCCCAAGACGAGTGCTCAGTGACAGAGTTTTGCAGGAAGTATGGCATGCCGGATCGGATCATTCAGGAAATTTTCATTCCCATGGCCAAAGCGCTGGATTTCATCGATCCCGACCGCCTCTCCATGACTGTCGTGCTCACGGCCATGAACCGCTTCATTAACGAGACCGATGGAAGCCAAACTGCCTTCCTGGACGGTAACCAACCCGACCGGCTTTGCCAACCTATGGTGGAGCACATCAAACGCCTCGGCGGAGACGTTCGTCTCGGGGCAGTCGTGGAGGAGGTTGTTCTGCGCCCAGACGGCTCTGTGGATTACCTGAGCATGCGTGGTGGCGAGAAGTTTTCGGCGGACGAGTACGTCTCCGCGATGCCCGTCGACGTGCTGAAGCGCTTACTGCCGCGGCAGTGGTCAATTCTGCCTTTCTTCCGTCAGCTGGACCAGTTGGAGGGAATTCCGGTCATCAACATCCACTTGTGGTTCGACCGAAAGCTGCGGAACATCGATGCTTTGTGTTTCAGCCGCAGCCCACTACTTTCTGTGTATGCTGACATGAGCACCTGCTGCAAGGAGTACGAGGATGCTGAAAGGTCTATGTTGGAGCTTGTTTTCGCACCTTGCGGTGCCATCGCCGGGAGCAACATCAACTGGATCGAGAAAACTGACAAGGAGATCGTAGCTGCAACGATGAAGGAGCTCGAACGGCTCTTCCCGGACGAGATTGGTGTCTCACTGGTCGGTGGAGGCGCACAGCTACGCAAGGCGACGGTGGTGAAGGTACCACGCAGCGTCTATGCTGCAATCCCAGGACGCAACAAGTTCCGGCCTTCTCAGGCCACACCCGTGCCCAACTTCACCTTGGCGGGCGATTGGACTAGCCAGAAGTTCTTGGGCAGCATGGAGGGAGCCGTGCTGGCGGGCAAGTTGGCCGCAGAGGTGATTTGCGACCGTGCCAGGGGGATCAAGGCTCCAATCAAAGCCGTCCTGCCTTCAGTCGAGAGAGCTGCTTCAGGGCCTCCACTGCAGCCGGAAGGCATAACCGGATCCACGCCGATAGCTTTCGGCGGCGGTGCGGTAATGTCTGAAGAACATCTCCGTGATCTCCGCCAGCAGGACCCTGGAGCTTTGTCTCAGTGATTGGCTCCTGGCAGGGAAGCTGAAGCAGTGCAAGGAAGGCATACTGCATGTGCCATCTTTCTAAATGCCTCGTGGAGATCTTCTGAGATTTGCTTTTGAAACAGCCGGCGGTGTGATGTAGCCTTTCACATCTGTCATCCCTCGTCTAGTGCAATCCGTAGGTGCTGCTGCAGAATTACTCTTATGTTCATCGTTTATATCCTGTTGCGCTGTGACTCTCCTCTACTACTCGGTTTGTGTGTTGGGTTTAATGCAGCGCGGCACCGCGGAGAGTGTCCGAAACCGCCCCGTCGTACTCCGACTTCCGATCCTTTGGTACTGTATTACTATGTTTGATTGGTATACTCATATATGACGGGAGCGGGGCAGACACCTAGTAGTAAGGGTAGCAATGGACCCCGAAGCCGTGCCTGCGATTGTGCGAGTGTGCGACTCGAAACACCGTGGCAGCATGGGCTCGGGGGTCGTTTAGTCGTTTGAGTGCTTGGGCTGAGCTTTGGATTGCAGCCTTGAGGTTCGGGCATCAATTAGACCACGGCATAGTGTAGTATGTTGGAGGTGTAGTATAGTGCGCGTAATATTGTGGTAGGTTCGATTATTATGTCCTGGCTCGTGTGGAACCCTGTGGCGGAGAGTCGGCAGTGTCGTTTTTGACCGTCGTGCAAGTCCTTTAACTTCTGTGACGCAGAGTCAGGCTCCAAAGTGCAAATGTCGTCAATAGAGTTTGCCGTTGCACTGTTGCTTAACATATCTTAGTGCAAGATGGTTGCCGTTGCCTAAGCAGAACTACTGCGCAAAGATGTTCATAGCGCAGAAGCCATGCCGAAGCAGCGGGCAATGAAGGTCGGCGGACAGGCCAGTGCCCTCATCACCTCCGAGACACTTCAGCGCATCGACGGCCACCACCTGTTGCCTGGCACTGCGGGTTTAATGTTGTGGCACTTGGTCTCCCAAAAAGTTCCGCTCAAATGCTGAGGGCTTCCGGCTCCGAGCAGATGCCCTGCATTTTCTGGACTTGTTATGAAGAAGACTGAGCAGCCGGGAAGTCTTCAGGTCCGTGGAGTACTGCACCGGACGAAACATGTGTCTATGGCCTCGAGCAGGAGCTTGCATCCCGTGAACTGTCTGAGAAGACCTGCCAAGTCAGCATTCTGCTCCGCAGATTTCTCGTGGAGCATCGACATGCCGTGCCGGGCACGCTGCTTGGGCCGCCAGTGCAGCGGGAAATGCTGCGCGCGCCTGAATCGGAACCCTGCGCTGACCGGAGTTCGTTTCAGAAGGAAGGAATGCCAAGAGTTCTTGCACAAACGGGTGACCTGGCCAAGCCGCAGAATGTTCCTCAGAGAGTCAATAGCGGGGGCGTAAGGTATGCTCAGCCTAAGACGGCTCGCTCCATTGTGCCTTTCCGCAAGTCTTGTCGACTGAATCACAATGCCATCTGCATGATGGGACCCTGACTTGCCTGTGGAAATCCTTTATGGGAAGTGTTGCGAAGATGATGCGCAACACGCGCACATTGTTGCAGCGAGCATTGCGCAGCAGTTGCAAACGCGCACAGCTGAAGCGGTTCCCAGTGCGCAAAATGCTACAATTACCCACAGTTCCGACCAATTGCCAGTCTTGCATGTATGAGGTTTTTCTCGACGTATGCGCATGGTTTTCGGCCCGGAACTCAACAGTGGAAAGGCCCTCTCCATAGAGCTAAACTCGGGCTGCACGTAATAATAAACGCTCCTCAATAGTCGTAATTCCCGTCCCGGTTTTATTTTTTAAGGTTTAGCTAAAGAAACACTCCTACTACAAAGTGACGCCCTCGCTTTTCGAAACCAGGTTCAGACCTAGGGGGTTGGTTCCCGGCGAGGGGACGGCTTAAGGGGCCCCACTTGCGACACTCGCTTGCGTGTCGGATTGCTACCAAATCGGTGGACATCTTGCGTCGCAGAATCAAAACCGTGAAGGGCAAACGATCCACAGACTGCTGCGGAAACGTGGTCTGAAAATTATTCCACAGGAGTACTTCTTTCCTCTGAACTGCCGCCACGGTCATGGCTGCCTGGCTGCCTCGTGGGCGCATAGCCGCCCAAATTTGAGATTCCCGCGAGCAACCTGCTGCTTGAAGACGCGCAAAAGCTGGGAGGCCCTGAAGTATGCATGCCACCTAAGCTTGAAAGGTCTGATGCGCATTAGGATTCCGGGCTTAGGTTTGGGCTTGCAAGCAGTTTTCCGTCCTCCGTCTTCTCGGCCTTGAGTTAAGCAGCTAAGCTTCAGTCTTCAGCTGCGCTGTATAGGGCAGCTCCCTCCTGCAGAGAAGGAGCCTGGACGACCGAGTCTCCAAATATCGGCAGCATCGCTACAGAAGCATGTGGCAAGAACGGCGTGCAACCTCCAGATTCCAGTCCAAAATTCTTCTCAAAAATGTCGGTAGTCGCATTATCAGTACGTGGGAGGCTGACTCGCAAGCTTGCGACCTTAACCCCTAAACCGTAAACCCCTAAACCCTAATCTTTGAGGTTTGGGCCTCCTTCAACGGCCTCGTTGTTCGCTCCTGCACACTGTGATGCTAGGTGTGGGCTCAGCCCAAGAGACTTGAGCCAGCCCTTGTATGCCAGAAGAGGGTGCCTGTTGTCCTGACCTTTGCAGATAGGACGAGTCACTGATTTTTAAACAAACCCTGGCCGCACAGTGAGTAGCGATCTGCAACGTTTGGTGGATGTGGGCGCGTAGGTCAGAGCATTCAGCTTTGAGTTGGCAATGCTGCGCGGAGGGGCCAGCAGCCACCAAATGCTACTGTAATGGCTACCCTAAACCCCTAAACCCTACTAAACCACAGTAGTGATATCAGGTGCGAAAGACATGCACTTCAGGTTGTGTGGGGTATGGTCTGGGCCAGGCCACGGCTGGCGTTGATCCTTTTCGGACCCATATGAGCTGCAAGAGCAGAGACCCATAAGCTGCAATCACATCTCACTTGGCAGAGCCCTGAAGATGGTAAGCTGAATCATTCGGTCTGGGGCCGTTGCCGCGCGGTGCCTTTTGTGAAGGTCAGCAGCAAGCCCATGCAAACACACCGTGCAGCACGGCCCCTTCATTCATGTATGCCAGCCGACATCGTCCTGAAGCAACGGCGTGTTCGAGACGTTTGGACGGTTGAAAGCTCTGAAAGTAGCCCTATAAGGTTAAACGGCTTGATGGCAGGTTGCTGATTCTTAGAGAGCGAGAGGTGCACAACAGCTAGTGTTCTCTGCCGTGTCAACAACCTGTAGGAGCCGAAGTGTCTTGGCAGAGTTAGAGAATGTTGACAGCACAACATAGGGGCCGTATTAATTACCTATACTATTTTGGGGGTGCCTTATGACAACTATATAGTTTAATAGGCCCCTACAAGGCCCCTACAGCACACCTTGCTCCATCTGGCCGGACTTGCCCTGCTGTTTTGTGCTCTCCAAGGATGTAGATGCAAGTCAGTTGGGTGCACGTGTGGCATTCGTGCATCACACAGAAGAACCCTTTCTTAGAGCTCGAACAAGATGATTCCACAGGCTTTCTGTTCGAGGCTTGCACCCCCAGGTTCAGGTTTAGTCGTAGTTTAATCAGGCATCTTGGCATGGCTCTTGACATGGAGCACGTTGCCGACAGGCTTGGCGAGCTGCAGATCCCGTCTTAGTTGACGCAGACCAGATACATTAGCTGGTTGGCGGTCCTTGTCTAGGCACCGGTATGCGTGCCAGCGACTGTCGCTCACCTGTAGCTTCAGTATCAGTAGCATGCCTTTAAAGCTTTAGGGCTAGCTCTGTTTTGGGGTAGGCCTTGGAGCAGCCACCAGTGGTTTGACATAGTGCCCCAGTTCTCGCTGAATTGGCCGCAGGAACCATCGCACTAATCTCAGGACCCATCCGGTCCTCCACGCTCACACTTCTTTTAGGGTTTAGGGTTTAGGGTTTGGCAGAGCCTTTCAGAACAGATCCAGCGGTTCGACTGTTTGAGGCTTTGTCGGAAAATGGCTCCCGAGACTGCTCTGATGGCTCCCGAGAGTTGCCTGATGGTTCCGAAACCATTGTGAGCCTTCATAGACAAAATCACCACCAAGCATTCCTGGGCACCAAATCCTAAGTCAAGAGGAATAGAGGTCAACAGTTTGAAAGTGATTCCTGTCGCATTGGTGATGGCGCTTGGCCCCGCAGGCACATGTGTGCCGTCTGTTGGCTTCTGCGGCATCCGAACCAGATGATAGGTGGCTGTGTGGAAGCAAGCCAAGAGCCACTATCCTTGCTAACTCACGTCGTCTTCGCTTCGGCTGCATCTCCTTGCATACACAAACAGGGAATATGTGGTCACGCTACATCAAGAGCTGCCAGTAGTTGCCATTTGCTCACGGCCATGGAGTGTTGATTGTTGTGGTGAACGACTGCGACTGACATCAGGCAGCTGTTGCCACTCCGGCTGCTGACTGTAGCCATGTCAGTGCACCACAAGCACGGCATGGCTTCTTGACTTGAGAAAGGTGGATGGGATGTGCAGCTTACCCTCGTCTGCTTGTGACAGCGCCTGCGTGGCCTTCGCAATCCACCTCGTGCTGCTTCAGAGCCTTTGCCCGCGAGATCCAATCTGCCACGACAATTTTTTGGCACAATTCTTCAAGGCTGTGCCTACAAGGCTCTTCCCCTCGTTCTGCTTGACTGTGCTTCCGGCGAGTGTTGCAAGGCTTCAGTTCCCGGGTGGCTCTCAACCTTGTTGTTTCCTGCTTGCTGCAGGCCTCCCACATCCCTTGAAAAAACTGCTCCTCGAAACCAAGTTGTAGCCTGAGGCAGGAGCATGACGTGATATCTAGGGTCCGGCGCCTTGGAACCAACAGTCTTCCATGAAACAGGACTCAGCGTAGTCGCAGCACTCGACGCCTTCTTCAGGCCTTAAGACTGAACGTCCGTGTTTCGAGAAAAAGCTGCTCTGGCCACGTGAGCTGTGCTCTGCAGCAGTTCGCCGCCCCAGAAGCCTCAAGCCACTTACGAAAACTGCTATGCTTGTCGACTAGGATCACCGGTTTAAAAGTCCGTAGCCACAGCCGCAGCCTACCAGAGCTCCACTTGCAGTCAAGTAGCACGTTCTTACGCGGGGCTGGGCTGCTTAGGTAGAGGCTTCACATCGCTTTGTAAGATGGCGCTCGTCAGCCATCGGCCTCATTTCGCGAAAGCTTGGGGGAATCCTGAGCATCCACCATCGCTTTGGGACCTTCGAAGTTAGAAATCAGAACCCCTGCCCTTCGTCTCACACACTTTCTGCGTCGCTAGTTTCCACCCATGGTAGTTGCGAGATGACCCTGAGATGCCTTGCTTGCAGCCGTCCATTCAAGTCTTGGATGCATGTGCCAATCGAGGCGCGTGGCTCTGCCTAGCGCCGAGAAGGTTCAAGCCGCAGCATAGCAGACATCCGTAACTCGACGATGGTACAGCTACATGCTCATGCTCGAGCCTGTGGCTTCAGGTGCACAAGGCTCTACGTGCTTGGCTCTCGACTTTCAAAGTATGAGCACTGGCGAGACTTGCCCGGCTTGTGTCAAACCTCCAATCCCAACATTTGAGCACCTTCGTGCACGGTGTGGGTCTTTGGAAAGGGCGCGTGGGCGAAAATCAACGTGCCACGGCCCCTCCGGAGCGCTGCTATATGAAGCAACGAAGCGCGAGGTGGTCGACATTGCTATGCGGTGACGAGCTGAGGGAGCTCTGCTCAGGCGAGTGGGGGTAGATCTGATAGTTGGGGCAGTCCGCCGCTTCGTGCATGCAGGCTCGCCACGCAAGACTCCTCGTAAGGAGGAGCAACGTGAGGCGAGAATCCCTGACCTCTGTAGCTCACAGCGTTCGGGAGTCGCTCAATCTACCAAGCAACATGAAGCTCATCTAGCCAGGTGATGCCAGGTGTATATCGTGACTCTTGCTGCCTGTGTTTGAGCAGGCTTTGGACGACAGGGTCGGCTTGCTGGTAAGATCCTACTCCCATAATCCTCCGGAAGCGGAGTAGATATCCAATGATATCCCTAAACTTTGGGGAGCACGGGAGCACTGTGGTATCAACACAGATCCAAACACTAAGCTATGAAACTCAGGGGCGACATCGTCAATTCGTCAATGCCATGCGTACATCGTGACTCTGGCTGCCTGTGTTTGAGCAGGCTTTGGACGACAGGGTTGGCTTGCTGGTAAGATCCTACTCCCATAATCCTCCGGAAGCGGAGTAGATATCCAATGATATCCCTAAACTTTGGGGAGCACTGTAGTATCAACATAGATCCAAAGACTAAGCTATGAATCTCAGGGGGGACATCGTCAACTCGTCAATGCCA